CATATTAAAATAACTTATAAAAGCATTAAAAAGACAGCATATAAACCAGGCACTAATGGCTCATAGCGCTAATCCTAGCTTCTCAGGAGACTGAGATCTGAGGATGGTGGTTTGAAGCTAAGCCTGAGCAGGAAGGTTCTTGTGACTTATGTCCATTTAACCACCAGAAAGCTGGATGTGGAGTTTGGGCTCAAATAGTAGAGCACTATCCATGAACAGAAAAGCTCAGGGATAGTACATAGGCCCTGAGTTCAAGCCCCAGGACCAGTACAAAACAAACACAAAACATATCAAGGACTAAATATAAGAAAAGAAGTGCAAGCATTATTGCAAGAAATAAATAAAAAGACATGCCATGTTCATGATTGGAAAGATCAAATATTATCAATGTACCAGAACTTTCCAAACTGGTAAATAGATTTCAGTGCAGTTCCTATCAAAATTTCAACTCCCTTTTAGTACAAGTTGAGAAATCCTAGATTCATATAAAAATGCAAGGAACACAGAGTAGTTGAAATAATCTTAAGAAAGAAGAACAAAGTTAAAAGACTTCCTTTCCTTTTAAAAAATTACTGTAAAGGCACAGCGATGAAGACAGTGTGTGATTACCATAAGGATAGACACATCGATAGAGTAGAATGGAAAGTCTAGCCAGGAAATAAAAAGCATGCATTTATGGCTAATGGATTTTCAACAGCATGCCAAGATAGTGTAGATAGGGTAGTCTTTTCAGAAATATTACTGAGATAGCAATATTCACATGCAAAATAATGAAGTTGGACTCAACCTTACATTGTCTACAAGACTTAACTCAAAGTGGATCTAGGAGGAGGAGGGGTCTCTAAAATGTAGCATGTAGCGTGCTTGAGACCCAAGGTCCAATCCCTGATACCGCCCAGGAGCAAAATAAAGGAGGGAGAAAGGAAGAGAATATTCTTAGAACTCAACAATAAAAAGACAGCTCAGTTTGAAAGTGTGCAAAGCTGGAAATCTTTGCACAGCTATTTAAATATAATAAATTTTAAAAATTAAAAGTGTGCAAAGGAAGCCAGACACTGGTGGCTCACAGCTGGAGGTTGAGATCTGAGGATTGCAGCTCAAAGCCAGCCCAGGCAGTAACGTCCATGAGACTCTTATCTCCAGTAGAACTACCAAAAAAGCCAAAGTGAAACTGTGTCTCAAGTGATAGAGTGCTAGCCTTGAGCAAAAAAAATCTCAAGGACAGTATCTAGGCCCTGAGTTCAAGTCCCAGGACCGCCACTACCACCAACAAAAAAACAGTGTGTAAAGGATTTACACAGACATTTCTCCAGAGAAGATACACAAATGACCAGAACACATTAAAAAAGATGTTCAGTATCTTTAGTCGTTAGAGAAATCAACCTGGTTTCAATATGAGATTCTGTTTGCATACCCATTAGGAGAGCTAGAATCAAAATATTAGATAATAACAAGTATTGGCAAAGATGTGGAGAAATTGAAGTCCTCATACATAGCTGTGGAAAAGAGTGCACCTGCTTTGGAAAATGGTTTGGCAAAATGTTGGACATATGGAAGTACCATATGACCCAGCAATTCCACTTGTAGGTACGTAGCCAAGGGAATTGAAGATGAGTCCACACCAGAATGTGTACAAAAATGTTCATAGCAGCATTACTCAAAATATGCCCATAGTAAAAACCCAGATGTCCACCAACTGAAAATTGGTCAATAAAATGTGGTATATTTGTAGGATGGAATATTATCTATGAAAAGGAATAAAATTCTGATACATACTACAGAATGGATGAACCTTGAAAATACTTTCCTGCATGAAACTATGTACAATGGCCACATCTTATATGATTCAATTCATATAAAATGTGCAGAAAAGGTAAATACTTAGTATCAGGAAGTAGATTAGTAGATTATATTTGTAGATTGCTAGGGCCTAGGGGAAGAAGAGAATGTAGAGAGAGCATAAAGATTTGGGTTTTTTCTGTGATAATGAAAATCTTCCAGAATTATATAGTGGCAATGGTTATGCAATTCTGTGAATTCTGTGAATAAGAATCATTAAATTGCATATCTTAAAAGATTTGACTTTATAATACATGAATTTTATCCAAAAATTATTAAATAGTGAATAAATGACTTTTTAAAAAGCCATTATTTATATGTCATAGACAACAAACCCCCAAAATGGAAAAAAAATACATATTATAATTCTTGAATAAAGAGGAAATTTGCACAATATTTCAGGATACATGGTACAGAGTTTAGATAACTAAGGTTGTGGGACTATTAGAGAGTCAAACAAAAACAATTTAAGGTCTAGAAAGAGATTTAAGCACATGTATTAGGAAAATAATATACTGTGTATTATTTATGTTACCATATATAACATAGTAATATATAAGTAAGGTAAAAAATAGTGCTCCTCAGATCACGATCGAGGCCCAAATTCCCCACCCCCAAATGTGATAACCTGGCTGAAAAATAAGGAAAAAAGGGTTGGGGGTGTCAATCAAGTGGTCCAGTGCCTTGCTAGCAAGCATAGTCCCTGAGTTCAAAACCCAGTATTCCTCCCCCACACACACAAAATGGTGTTTATCATAAAGAAATATACCCTGCCAAGCTTTACCAGTTGGCAGTTGTGGTTGAAAACAGCATAAATTATTTCTGGCAATCTGAGTCACAAAGGCATTTACAGTAAAGATACTGATACCTCAGCATCAATGGAAAACCAAGCTCAGAAGATGAAGGAAGCATAGGCCACTAAGGAGCTAGGAAAACATCCTCCAAAGGTCACTGGAATTAGGGGGATGTCCCCAGTCTGTTGTTGCTGCTCAGGATTGTAGACCTACTACTGACACCAGGTTTCTGCGACTCCTCCCTCTCAGAGACTGGGGCAGAGCTCAGTCATGGTCTAGAAAGAGGAGTGTCCACCTTCAGCTACTGGGGTAGAAGGCACACGCTGTAGCATCAATCAGGTAGGAAGAGAAAGAGCCAGAAATGACAGATTTCCACTAACATTTGGAATGATTAAAATTAGAACCATACTTTGTATCATAGACCAAAATAAATTCCACATGGGTTCAGAATTTAAATGTAAAACGTGAGATCATAAAAGTACTTAAAGAAACTACACATGAATATTGATGTGATCTTGGTGAGAGTAAGTTGCTAAGCATGATATAAATATCAGAAAGCCATTAAAATATTGGTAGAGAATTAAACAACTCAGAAAGGAAATCCTGTTCTGTTAAGTTAAAAACAGAAGTTCAGGGCTGGAGGTATAGTTCAGTGGTAGAGTGCTTGCCTCGCATGCTCAGGCCCTGGGTTTGATCTCTAGTGTTATCAATTTTTAAAGAAAAAATGTATTTGTATATATACCTCCAAAAAAGACTATAGAGTATTATAGATAGAAAATAACCAGTGAAGATCTCTTGGATGATGACACTAGAAATGATTTTGCCTTCCTTCTCTCCTATATTGAAATAAATTGGCTCGCTAGCTGATTGGTTGGTTGGTTGGTTGGTTGGTTGGTTGGTTGGTTGGTTGGTGAGAATACAGTGTCAGGCTTCTCACAAGTAAATGTGAACATAACCTCACAGAGCAGGTAATGAGCCAGCATGTTTCCATCCCTACCTGTGTAAGTGATGTTTACTAGAATTTGTTCCACATTTTAAAAGGAAGATCTAAATCATTGAATGCCCCCAGTTCATGAGGTCTCTCTATATCCCCCCCCCATGTTTATTTTGTTGATTTTAAGAGACCCATCTGCTTCATGAGAAACTCACTGTTTAGGATATTAGCATCTAAGAGGAAGACAGTCACAAAGACTGTAGATTTTTATTATGGTTTATATCTCATCCTCATACCCCTACCTGTAAAACAGGCATTGTCTGGGATTCCATCTCAGTAAAGTGTGCTCTTCTATATCTGTTGGGCATAAGGAATAGAGAGAGTCTCCTTCTATTGCCCCATAGGAGAAAAACTCACAGAAGCATCCACCTAAAGGATGAGGAAAACCTTGCATGTTCCAGAAAGCCCAATCTGCACATGTAGAAACAGACTAAACAAGCCTGACACCGAAAATAATTTTAAAATGGCCACTTTTTCTTATTTTTGCCACTCAGTTACTTTTCTTTCTTGTTAAAGAAAAAGAATCATTGTGCCTTTGGATTCAGTCTGTCCTGTTAAGATGCAAATCAAGTAAACATGATCTTACTAGAGATTTCTAGTTGAAATGTTCATGTTTTAAAAGGCCTTTTAAAAAAAGTTTTTCTATGACCATTTTCTCAGAGGACTCATTAAACATTCTTTTTGAGTCATAAACAGCATGATTCTGAACTTTTATACGTTTCATATTCTCCTTGTCTTCATGTTTCATGTTAATATCGGAACCCCATAGCTCTGGGCTGGAATTAAATTTCTGTGCCACTGTTTTGGGTATTAGATGGCTTTGTATTACAGTTTTCACTGTAGTTATTTTGCAAGATGGAGTTAAAGTAGCTTGAGAATATGTATGGTGTTGAGCTACATATTTCTTGAGAAGTTTTGCAGTTCTCTCATGTTCTGTACTTTTCCCTTAGTTATTTATTTATTTTGATGACATGGAGCAGAATGATAGATAGGCAGAAGAAAAGCTGTTCCTTTTTTCTAGAAGATGCTTGGAAAAGTTACAATAACTCTTGTTTCCTTGGTATCCCCATATGAAGTTTTGTGGCTGTGGTGCTTCATGCATGTCTTACAAATCACAGTGCTCGGGAGTAGGAAGTGGCAGGTGCTGCATTGTTGAGCATCCTCTGATATCCAGTCCTTGCAGATGAGGTGAGGTAGCTGGGTAGTGGGCAGGTGAGGTGTCAGACTTCAGTGCAGTGGTGAGAGGAGCATGTGCAGCCGGAAGGGCTTGGTATCATGGTACCTCCAAGCCTGGTCATTTTCTACCTAGCTATCCTCCACTGCTTCTGGGCACAGCAAGACTTCATACATGTACTTCTCTTGTCTCTTTCCAGGAGCAGCCTATTGCCAGTTCATGGACATGCTCTTTCCAGGCTGCATTAGTTTGAAGAAAGTAAAATTTCAAGCAAAATTGGAGCATGAGTATATTCATAATTTCAAACTTCTGCAAGCATCATTTAAGCGAATGAACGTTGATAAGGTATGAAATTCTCTTTTATCTCTATAAATCGCACTGTTCAAGCCAGGAGCCAGTGGGTCATGCCTTTAGTTCTACTTACCCAGGAGGCTGAGATCTGAGGATCATGGTTCAAAGCCAGCCTGGTCAGGAAAGTTGGGGAGGCTCCTTATCACCATTTAATAATAATAATAATAGGAACTGAAATTGTGGCTCACATGGTAGAGTGCTAGCTTTGTGCATAAAAGCTCAGAGACAGCTCCCCAGGCCCTGAATTCAAGCCCCAGAACTCACACGAAAAAAATTAAATAAATAAAATGCACTTTTCTTTAGAATTGTTTTCTGTCAGAAATCTATAAACTTGTAAATGGGAATATCTCTTGATATCTCAACAAATTGGAGCCTGTAAAGGATCAATCCTAACTTCCCATATTTGGATGAAGTTTTAATTTAAAGAGATTGTCTAAACTTGCAACCATTTGACTAAAAACTTTTAACAGGAATTATAAGTGTTTAAACATTAATGGCTATGTTTACTATTGCAGATGAGAAATTTTTATGTTTTCCAGATGTTTCTGTGGTTCTTTGTATATTTTGTTCCAGGGAAAAACATCTTACTGTGGAACAGCATGATTCTCAGTCCCAGCTCATTATGGAACAAGTTACTTGAATTCTTTTACCCTGAGTTTACTCATCTATAAAAGAAGTCTAGAAATTTCTTGCTCATAGTTATGAAGTTGAAATGAAGGAATGCATGTAAAACTGTCCAGTACAAGCCAGGCACTGTGGCTTATGCCTGTAATCCTAGCTATTCATGAGGCTGAGATCTAAGGATCACTGTTTGAAGTCAACCTAAGCAGAAATGTCCATGAGACTCATCTCCAATTAACTACATACAAAGAAAAGATGGAAGTAGAGCTGTAGCTCAAATGGTAAAGTGCAGCCTTGAGGAAAAATAGCTCAGGGACAGTGCCCAGGCCTCTCTCTCTCTCTCTCTCTCTCTCTCTCTCTCTCTCTCTCTCTCTCTCACACACACACACACACACACACACACACACAAAATGACCAGCACAACAGCTGGGCACTAGTAGCTCATGCTGTGATCCTAGCTACTCAGAAGGCTGAAAAATGCTAGGCTCCATCTCTAAACTAACCAGCAAAAAGCTGGGCTGGATGTATGGCTCAAATAGTAGAATGTTAGCAAGTAAGCTGAGCAAGCATGAGACCTTGATTCAGGCCCCAGTACTGGAGGAAAATACGTTTCCAGCATTGTAAATACCCTCAGATTCTCAATATTGGTTCATAAATTTCCCTCTTCCCTCTTTGAGTTTTCTTAATTTTATCCTAGAATGATACACCTGGAGTTAAATGCTTATTACCTAAAACTACTCAATCTCTTTTCTGCCTATGGACTGCTATTCAGATATATGCTTATTAATTCACATTCTTTATTTAGGGTATGTCTCTTTGAATAAACTTTGAAGAGCTTTCTTTGCAATAAATTGATTATAGCAGTAATACATAGAATACTAGGCTATAAGAGAGAGGCATTAAAGGGAAGAAGAGTTGGTGAAATACCTATATTGAGAGTGGTACTGAGATTTTTACTTAGTCCCTTACATTTGCAAGGCAGTTACTCTATCATATGAGTCCTACCTAAGCCCTTTTATAATTGAGTTATTTTTTAGTTTTGTCTTGCTTTTTGCCTGGACTGTCCTGGAACAGGCACATACTACCATGCTCAGCCTTTTCTGTTGAGATCGGAGTCTCACAAACTATTCCCTCCCTCCTCTGGTTGGAACTGTGATCTTCCTCACATTAGCCTCATAAATTGCTAGGATTCAAGGTGTGAGCACCCAGGCACAGCTATATTTTTTATTTAATGCAGTTTTTTTCCCTTCTAGGTAAATGCATTCTTATCAAAATATTAAATCTGGCCAAACATTCTCAGAATTTTTATTTCAAATTGTGTAGTCTTGAGCCTGATGGTTCATACCTGTAGTTCAGCTATTCTGGAGTCTGAGGCAGGATGATCACTAAGCCCATGAGTTTGAGACGAACCTTAGAAGCATAGCAATACTCTAATACAATAAAATATACTTTATCACACCTTAGCCTTTTACAATGGCTAATTTCCAGTTAGCTGTTAAGATATATATTCAAAACCAGATTCTTTCTCATTTTATGAGTTAATAGTACTTCTTTTGTCTTTTTCAATTTCCTATCTATGCTTCTACATTGGAAAAAATGAAATGCCTGTCCATAGGTGTATTGAAGACACTACCATATATCAAATTAATGATTCTGTATGTCTAGTAATATGTATACAAGAGGACAGATGAACAATTGTTAAGCATGTCAAAGAAAAAGTCTTGCAGTGTAAGGAGCCTGGCCTCAGTACCCTTGTTGGCTCCTCTTACTTTCAATTGCCATGAGATGATGTTGTGTAGTCCTCTTATATCTGTCACAGCCCGAAGAGTATAACAAGACCCTTTCTGTGCAAAGTTCTGCTTGCCACCTCAGCTTTGGAACTTAGACCCCTGAAACGTAACATTCCTACAGAGAATGTGAGATTAATTCAGCAGAAGCAAGTGCATTTTGCCAGGTGCTGGTGGCTCACATCTATAATCCTAGCTACTCAGGAGGCTGAAAGCAGGATTAAGGTTGGAGGCCAGCCTGAGATGAAAAGTCCAAAAGATTCTCATCTCCAAAATAACCAGCAAAATATAGGACTGAACACACAGTTCAAGTGATAGAGCATCAATAGCAAGCAAGAGGCCCTGATTCAAACCCTAGTATTGCCAAAAATTTTGAAAAAAAAAAAACAGCCACCTTTTAATTGTTCACATACCACATCATCTAAAACTATCAATTTCCATGCCTTGCAAAAAAAGTATATTCGGCTGTTTATGCAATCAGAAGCACTATACTGTCACTTTCTAGTAATCATAAATAAACAAAACTTAGAAGATAAAAAGTAAGTTAATATTACAATAAAAAGTCAGTTGAGGGCTGGAAAGGTAGTTCAGTGGTAGAGTGCTTGCCTTCATTCATGAAGCCCTGGGGTTCAATTCCTTAGCACTACATAAGCAGAAAAAGCCGGAAGTGGCGCAGTGACTCATGGTAGAGTGCTAGCCTTGAGCTGAAGTGCAAGGGACAGCCCCCAGGCCCAGAGTTCAGGCCCCCATGATCGAAAAAACAAACAAACAAAATCTGTGTCAGAAATTCTTCCAGAGAAAGAAAGGAAATATCAACACCAAAGTCTCCAGTACCAGAAGAACCTTTATGAGAAAAATGGTTCCTTTCAAAAGCTTGTTTCTTTTTATTTTGTTCTGTACTTGGTTTCTTTTCTCTTTTAACTGCAAAAAAAAAAAAAGAAAAATTTCTTACTAATAATTTAGCTTTATGGCTCACTAAAAATGCTTCCATTGCCTTTTCTCTTTCTGGTGACATTGATGTATACAGTCTTTCTGCAGTTTCTAAGTGGTTCTGTTGATGCATTTTAGGACATTGATAGCATGGAGATCCAGAGATGGCAAAGCATTGCTGCAAGTGGAATTTATGCAGCTTTCATTCCCATGGCACACAGGGACGTCTGGTGCCCAGGGCACTGGGTTTCTCACTAAGTCTCATACTTACACATTTACAACCTCACCCCTTGGTTTGTTCACTCTCTCATGGTAGAATCCCTATCCAGCGATGAAGTAAAATCTAGTAATAGTGCAGTTTGGGGAGTTCATTACCTTTCCATTTTCTTTTGAAAATAGTGGCCTGATCAGTTTCAGCTAAGTAATCCAACCCCATTTTTTTCTTGGTCATAATTCCAATGCCTTCCCATATTAATGTCAGCCACCTATTGGGAATACTTATAGAGCCTTCTGGTTGCAGTGGGCAAGGTTGCCCCATGAAATGCTTAGCTTCCTGTCTTGGGAACCCATGTGAATGTTGTGTGCCTTGTCCCCCCGGGGCACCTCTCCTCAACCCCTAGACAGCCTGCAGCTCTTTTCCTCTCCATTCTCAGGGAGCTATGTTTCTGGGTGGTCCAAGAATTTCTGGGCCCTGGATTGAGGTTAGTTGTTTTCATACTTGTCTTTTTATATTGTAAATGAGCTCTGGGAAAGCTCGTTTTGTTTCATAGGAACCATTGGCTTGGTATCCATTTGTATTGACTTGAATCTTATTCATTGGTACTCTCTAGTAATTATAATCCTTATAAGCATTTACTCCAATACAACTGAGTCAAGTGTGACTAATAGGAAAAGCCATCAATCTTGAAACAGTATAACCTCCCAGGCCTGTGTCTGTATGGGAGATGCTTTAACAATAAGAATTCTATAAGCTCCTCTTTTATTCTTTTTTTCTTTTCTTTTCTAAATGATTTGTTTGATTTTATTTGCTTTTTTTTTTTTAAATGAGAAAGGGCCTCACTGTTTGTAGCCCAGGCTGTCCTCAAACTCAAAATCCTCCTGCCTCAGGTGTATACCACCATACCTGGCAGATCAGTCCCTCTCAACAGAAAAGAATATATCATTTTTTAGTTCAGAAGCATTAAATATTCTTAGACACCCAACTAGGTGTTTCTTGGATAAGTGCTTTCACCATATTACACGAAAAAGATCATGTTAATTCTAGTGTACACCTCGCTGAGAAGGAGAGCGTGAACTGCAGGCAAGTGGGCATGTTTAGGGGAGCATTAGAGTTGTATTAAATACCAGCCAGCCTGAGGCTCATGGCTCACGCTCATTTCCCATTGCAGGTGATTCCAGTGGAGAAGCTAGTGAAAGGTCGTTTCCAGGACAACCTGGATTTCATTCAGTGGTTTAAGAAATTCTACGACGCTAACTACGATGGGAAGGAGTATGACCCTGTGGAGGCTCGGCAAGGGCAAGATGCAATTCCTCCCCCTGACCCTGGCGAGCAGATTTTCAACCTTCCCAAGAAGTCTCACCATGCAAACTCCCCCACAGCAGGTATTGTCACAATGAACTCAAGGAATCACCTCCATTGTAAAAAATGGGAAACTGGTTCACTTCACACCCTCCTGCATTTCACTGTGTTTATGATTTGATTCTTCACAGTCGTCAATGTTTAATGCCTTACAATGGTTTTTATTATAGTCTGTGTGACCACACTAATCTTCCTATGGCGCATTTGTCATACATCTAATGATCTTGATTTAAACTACTAAGAAAAAAAGGGAGGAGGGCTGGGAAGGTGGCTCAGTGGTAGAGTGCTTGCCTCGCATGCATGAGGCACCACATAAACAGAAAAGGCCAGAAGTGGCATTGTGAATCAAGTGGTAGAGTACTAGGCTTGAGCTAAAGAGATGAGGGAAAGCCCCCAGACCCAGAGTTTAAGCCCCATGACTGACAAAAAAAAAAAGCAGATATCACAGAGAGAGGTTGCTAAAAAAATACATCTAGTTTCTCTGAGAAAATTCAAGTAGTCTTGTTTAGATTTTGCCTGAAATATTTTTACTGGTGGTATAGCCCATAATATGAATTGATTTATGAAGTTAAATCTCAATCATTACTTCTCATCTGTCAAAGGAATTTTATGATCTTGTCCCCTGTAGAGACAGTGTCAGTTTTCTATATGGCAAAGTGAAATGGAATGATATCTCATTTAGTGAAGTCATTGAGGATAAATACCTAGAGCTTCAGTTTTTTTTTTAATTTTTAAATTTTTTTAAACTTTAAAAATAGACTTCCTAAAATATATTATAAATATCCTTTCCATAAAAAAGCAGACTTTGCTTAGTAAAACATGTTCTTCTGGAACTGTCACTATTCTAAACACCAGTTGGATACTGGAAAGTTAAACAGTGAAAGCTCCAGAGCCATTTGTTTCAATTCCAAGTGTAGAGCCCATTGTTCAAACCTATAAAATCAGTTCCCTATTCAAATCTCTTATTTATACCCTACCCAGAATCAGGACGGGTGAGAAATGGCTAATAGCACCACTTGGGTATGGATAACTGTGTAACCATTGTTTTCCTTACTGTTACTAAACCTATTTCTGCTAAGCACCAGTTGCTCACACCTGTATTCCTAGCTACTCAGGAGACTGACATCTGGGAATCACAGTTTGAAGCCAGACTGAGTGGGAAAGTCTGTGAGACTGTACTCTCCAATTACCCACCAGAAAACCTCAAGTGGTCCTGTGGCTCAGGGATAGCACCCAGGTTCTGAGTTCAAGCCCCACAACTGACAAAAAAAAAAAAAGAAGAAGAAGGAGCCTTTTCCCCCATTTATTTCTGTATTGATAGGCATAGTTCAGGAAAACTCAGACTACTGTCAATCTGGCATTTTAAAAGTATTAAAATACTTCAAAAGTATAAAGATAACAGGATTGATAAATTTATTTGCCAGCATTTTAGATGCATTTTTATTCATTTGGATTAATTAAAATAGGAATAAATAGATAAGCCAGGAAGATATATAAAAGATAAAATAGGTTGGATATTAGTAATGGTAGATACTGATATGAAAGGGAGGAAAGTGTTAAGAATGACTTCTTGGTTTGTCTCACACACTTGGAAGGATGGGGATATTGTTCAGGAAGTACTAAAAGAAAAGCAGATTTGGAAAGAAATCTGGAAATTTCTTTGCATCATCTAAGAGGAAATCTAAGTTGACAATTTATGGGTATTGTGCATGTGTGCCCGTGTACACATTGGGGAGAGTGGCTCTGAGAGTGTGGAACTGGAGGGAAAGATTGAATACAGTCTCTAAAAAGGGAGCGCCTTAGCTAGGCACCAGTGGAGCATGCTTATGATCTTAGCTACTCAGGAGGCTGAGATCTGGGGATCGTGTTTTGAAGCCAGTCGGGACAGAAAAGTTTGTGAGACTCTTACCTCCAATTAGCCACCAAAAAGCCAGCAGTGGAGCTGTGGCTCAAGTGGTTAAACACTAGCCTTGATTTAAAAGGCTTAGAGATCAGACCACCCCTAGGCCCTGAGTTTAAGCCCCAAATCACTGGGGGAGGGGGGGGAGGGGAGGGCTGGGGAGTGGGAATCTTGAACTCTGACTACCATAGCTAACGAGAGGGAACAGCTTGTCTGGGAAGATTAGGAAGATTAGAGGAAACTAGGGAGTGATGTGTCAGGAAAGCAAAAAGAAGGAAGCAAAATAATCCTCCAGTCTCTGAATCTACTGAGAATTCATGTAACATGAGGTCTGTTGGAGTCCATTGGATTGCACCGCTTGGAAGTGATTCAGTAGAAAAATTCAGTAGAATGGGTGATCTCTGTAGAAAAGAAAACTAAGATCTTTGAGAATCCATGCATACATGTAAGGAGAAAGCAGGAAAAGCAAGGTTAAGAGAAAAGATGAAGATCCAAAAGAAAGCCAGAAAAGGGAAGAGGAAAGGCAAAGGGCAAGGGAAAAGAGAAGTAAGAAAAACAGGAGACAAAAAAGAAAACCAGAGCGAACAGGAAGGGAAGAGAAGAAGGAAAAAAAAATGAAAGAAAACCAGGATACCTCAGTAACAGAGAACAAACAGTAGGAAACTTCTAGGAAGAGGGTGGCCAACAGTGCTGCATATTAATTATGGAAATATGAAAGTGGATGAATCCTTAAAATAGGTCAAGGAAATCTGATTCCTAGGGGATGATTAATAGTCCTTCAGAGAACTGGTCCATTAAGATGCTGAGAGCTTACCCCTGGTTGTAGCAATTTGCCATGAGGATTACAACAGTGACAGAGTAGGAGTAGATTCAGCCTTTCACAAATTTGTCATGGAATTATTAAAGAAAGTAAGAACGTTTTACTATAGGAAAAAGAACAAATTCAAGAAGTGAGATTGGGAGGAAAATGGTGTTTATCTGCTTCAGTTTAGTTTTTGGAAAGGAAAAAATATCAGGCTTATAAGATGGAAGAGAAATCCATGGAGAAACAATAATTGAAAATACAAAAAGAAAGAAACAAAGTTGGAGATGGAGAAACTAGAGCAAGATACGCTGAAGCAAGAAGGAGAAAATGAGGTCAGAGGGTTAAAGAGAAGATTTTCTTTTGTCCTCAGAGCAGAAGTGATGGGAAATATTTGTTTAAACACACACACACACACATACACACACACACACACACACACACACACACACACACACACGGGCTGGGAATGTGGCATAGTGGTAGAGTGCTTGCCTCGTATGCATGAAGCCCTGGATTCAATTCCTCAAGACCACTAACCAGAAAAAGCACCACCAGAAGTGGTGCTGTGGCTCAAATGGTAGAGTGCTAGCTAGCCTTGAGCAAAAGAGGCTCAGGGACAGTGCCCAGGCCCTGAGTTCAAGCCCCAAGACTGGCCAGAAAAAAAAAAAAACTATGAAGTTTGGAAAGGAAAAATTCATATAGTCAAGTTGGCCATGTGCTTTAATTACAGTACCTTTTATCAGTCTTGGACCTAGAGCAGAGAGGAGGATGGTCTTCCCCAGCATTTGGAATCTAGGAACACGTGGCGTGGGAGGACAAGGAGAGGAGAAAATGGTGGCTGACATTTTTCATCTTAATGTCATTTTCTAGAGCTGTTAGAGAAGGACAGATCCATGATAAAACTCAGCTGCTATGTTTCATGTTTTACTAGTGAAATTAGATCTCATAACATGGCCTTAATTTTTTTTTTAACCTTGGCTCTAACATTCCTCCTCCTGCAAATGAGGCTGTTGCTCGGCGGCCTGGCCTCATTTGCCAGGAATCCCCTCCTCATCTCACAAAAGCTGCATAGAAACTTGTGCCATTTGAACCTGAAAGAGAAATACATATTTTCCAGAGCTTAAAACTCTCAGGTGACAAAGCTCAAGAAACCCATTAAAGTCAACAGATAATAAATTTTGTTTTTAAAGATCCAGAATGCAGTAATTCCTGAGAGCTGTTTTCCTAATTCCTGGACCATGTTTACCTCATTACCTTAATCAAGGAGAAGGGATATTTTCAGAAAACAAATTAACCACTCCCTTCTTAATAAATAATGTTTGAGGGGCTGGGGGTTTAGCTCAGCAGAAGAGCTCCTGCTTGGTGAATGCAAGGCCCTGAGTTCGGTCCTCAGCTCTGGAAAAAATAATAATAATAAATAAATAATGTTTGGCTATTGAACATTGTGAGATAATAAATTTATACCGGAGAACAGTTACAGCAGGATAGACGTCACATGTAGAACATTATTATTAAAAGCCCTAATAGGATAAAAAAAATTAAGGGCTCATTGTTCTAGAAGTCATGTGTCCAGATATTGGGAACACAAGCCAAAAAAAATATAAGATAAAATGTCTTCTAGAGTCAGAATACATGTTATAAAGTCTAAGCTATAAAATTAATGCACTTTATTCATGAGAGAGTTTCTAGGGTACTTATCCAGAGCTGATTTGCTCTTTCTTAATCTAAATGTAAAGAGGTAGGAACCAAGAGAGTCCAAGCATCAGTTTTTTTGGGTTTTTTGGGTTTTTTTTAAATTTTATTTTATTTGTGAACATACTGTACAGAGGGGTTACAATTACATGGGCAGGATAATGCGTACATTTCTTACCAAGCATTGGAGCCTCCTCCTTTCACCTCCCTTCCCAGCCTCCCCCTCCCCCCTCTCCCCCACCCAATCCTTCCCCCCCCACCAACATTGTAAAGCTCGTTTTTGACATGACAATTTGTACTTCTCATTGTTGCAACAGGTCCACCTGAATCCTTAAACAAGTTGTTTTTCCCCATCTCCTCCACAAGTTATACTGACATCAAATATAGTGAAAGCGGGGGTTATACTGTGGGGGAGGGACATACAAAGCAACAAAGAGATAATCTTATAAATGCGTTAGAAACACATGTATGAGAGAAAAAACATTAAAATACATATCTAAGGGTTCATTTTCCTAACATCACATTATCTGACCTTTTCCGCTTGATTCATACATATACTAGATATTGCAAATAAGGGAAACCATGGGACCTGTAGTTTTTAAAAACAGAAAAAAGCTGGGCACTAG